CCCCCAGGTGCCCCCAAGTCAGCTGCTGCTGAAACTGACCAGCGGCTGATTCCAGGAAGCTGGGGCAGAGCAGCTCTGTCTCGGGCTTCCTGGAGTTAGCTGCTGGTCAATTTCAGGAGCAGCTGAATCCGGGACAGCTGGGGTTCTGCTGGGTTGGTCCCGCAGCCCTGAGGGGTAGCGCTACTGGACCTACCCGGCAGCACTCCAGCTGTTCTGCCCCCTGCTTCCCGGATTCAGTGCTGGTCAGTTTTAGCAGCGGCTGAATCGGGGAAGCTGGGGGTAGAGCAGCTCCAATGATCCGGCTACCCCGAGCACTTCCGGGTTCCTGATGGTGCAGGACCATCAGGAGTGCCGGACCGTCAGATGCCGGACCATCGGAGTTTTACTGTATTAAGTTGATGGGAGAACTCTCTCTTGTCTTAGAGCATCTTTACTAGAAGCGTTACAGTGATGCAGCTGCATCAGTGACACTGAGTTGCTATAAATGATGTAGTGTAGACTTCAGACTGCTTCGTTTCTTCGTGCACGGATTGTGTTTGTGACGTGCCTACTACTGTGGGTGCCAGTCTATAATTGGTTCTCCTACGTGCCACTGAAATAGAAAACATTAATAAAAATAATAATCAGAATGAAAAATGTGCTTTGTTCCCACTGACCTGTGACTTCTCTGACATGCTCACAGATGAGAACCCTAGCCAGAAATTTGTTGTACATTTGTAGAAAATTATTATGTAAATAAATCACGCTATTATATATGCACAAAGTGCTTGTTTTTCAGCCAATATTGACTTGAGCCAACAGAACCATATCAATTAAAAAATCAAAGTGGCTAAGTTACAGATGATGTTTTACAGAATTATATCATGAATGTGAGAGTACATTTTATGTGCATGCATTAGATTCACTGCTAGACAAGATTTACAGCTACTTTATGTCTCTGGAGCAGAGTAGGCGAGCCAGAACAAACAAGTGAATCTGGCCAAACAGCCATATCTGTCTATCTCTATAATATGAATGTTATGTATGTAAATATATAAGCCTGTAAGCCCAGATCCAGGTACTGCTGAAGTCAATGGCACAATGCCAACTGAGTTCAATGGGGCCAGAATATAACTTGTTTTTATATATAATTAACATAAGTTATATCGTGGAACATATATATGTTCCATATTTCTGTTACTGCTAACACTTTCTGCCTGCAGTAACGCCTATGTGCCCAGACTTTGGTGCCTGCCGAGAGCCCCAATACTTCCGCTGGGTTTCGCACAGAAACAGGGATTTGGGCCCAAGCATAGATATGATTGCAGGATCAGGGCCTTTGGTTGCTGGAACAGAAAAAAAAATCTAACATAGTTTATCCCACCTGTTCATTTCTTTTCTACATTTAATTCAGGTTGAGGGGGGGAGTAACATTGGTTGGTTTGTTTTTTGTTTCTAGCTGGTTTTACATGTATGGATATTTATTTCCCAAGCATGAAAAGAATGCTTATATTGGAAAAAATAGAAAGCAACAAGCTTGTTGTTTAGTTTTTAAAAAATTGTTGTTGTTATTCGTTACCTCCAATTCCACCTAACTGTAAATTTTTGGGCCTATAAGGTTGGGCTGTGTCTCTTAACTTCTTGTCAACTGCTTTTCAAATGTCAATTGGTCTTGATGGTGCTTTTGTTTCTCACTCACCTGCAGAGCCTGGAGTTTGCACTGTATTTGGAGACCCCCACTACAACACTTTTGATGGAAGGACATTTAACTTTCAGGGAACCTGTCAGTACGTTTTGACAAAAGACTGCTCCTCCTCTGCCTCGCCCTTTCAGGTGCTGGTGAAAAACGATGCTCGTCGGACTCGTTCTTTCTCTTGGACAAAATCTGTGGACCTTGTATTGGGCAGAAGCACTATCAGTCTCCAGCAGCACCTCACAGTGAAATGGAATGGGACCCGGATATCACTGCCTTGCAAGACTCCTCAGTTTCAGATCGACTTAGATGGTTACTTGCTGAAAGTGACAACCAAAGCAGGTGGGGCTTGCTCCAAATCAGAAACATTGGAAGAAGTATAAAAGAGGCTAATATCGTGGTGTGTATCTAGTGAAATCTCCAAATGCAACAATTCCAGAATTGGAAATAGGAAGAAGCAATAATTCCATGGTACTAAACAGGTGCACTTCGTGCATAAACAGAGCTTTATGCAGGAGGATCTCAAAGAGCTCCATCGATTATTAATTAGTTCAACCTTATAGCATCCCTTTGAAGCAGCAAGAGCGGAGATTGAGCTGCAAATTATAATTTGTATACAGAACCTCTTTTCAAAATGTATTAATTTCTGCAACTGGCAACCCAGTATGTAAATGCACACGAATTTCACTTCCAGTGACTTCCAAATTGTTTGCCTATGGTCACCATGTGACAGTAGCTGTAATACTGAATCAGTGGGTAGCTAGTTCTCATACAGTACCTTCATGTTTTCAGTCACAGTAATAAATTGTGCCCTATATTAGGATGGATAAAATCACAGTTCCACACCTACAGCAAATAGCCAGGAAAAGATCCAACAAATTGTATGTGCAAAATTGTAGACAAAATTTACTGGGTATGCCAAATTATGACACCTTGCCCCTGCATAACGTGGATCCCTGCACTGGGTTTGTTCCTCAAAACGGTAAGGCAGATTTTTGTGCCTATCTGTAAGATGCACACAAGGTGACCATTACTCAAAAGTTCTAATTAAAAGCATCTTGAGGGGTTCTCATTGCAGTCAGCTGAACACTGTGAATTCTGATGTGGAATTCATTAGCCAACCACAATCCAGAGAGACATTCTAAAGATGACTGGCAGCTAATCCTGCTGCTGTTCCATTTATTGTTGACATAAGGCCAATAAACGACTGCACACATCTTTGTCCCTGTGGTGGAAGATGTAGTGCAAATAAAGCAAAATGGCAACATCCTGAATAGTATGTAACTGCTGCAAGTTATAGTCCAACTAATTCTTCCTTTTAACAGACAAGGATCAGATTTCTTTCACTAAATACATCACTAAGGGCCAGTTCCTCTCTGCTGGGCAAATGAGGTCTAAAAAGCAACACAATTACCTGGCTCCTCTGCCCAGGGCCAGAACATGCTACGGGCTGGGAAGGGAGATAGAATGTCTTGAGCTCCATAAAGGAGTGATTCTAGTGCCATGATCCTTGATGGTGCCGATAATTACTCAAGTGTATTGAAGAGGATTTCTGGCTTGGTTGAGACTTTGTCTAAAATCCCCATGTTGGAAACTGAAGGGAGCATAGCTGATATTACGCAGGAATTGTCCATTCTACCAGTCAGGATGGAGGAGCATTCAGTCTGCGCAAAACCTGTGCAGTTCCTCCACACAAGTCCCATTTGCTGAGGCTTTGTGTACAAGCATTTGAAGCTAAACCCTTAGAGCACAATCTTTGCTGCCAGATCTGGAGACTTCATTAACTGTGAAAAATCCTGCAGCACAATTGATGTGAGCCCCCAGCATGAGAGACTCAGTATGGGACATGCATAAGTGAATAATGAATTTTTAAAAATTCTGTATATTGTGCCAAGTGAAGCGGAGTGACAAATTGATTTAGCACCCCCTCCTCCCCAAAAAAGGGAAAATTGGAAAACCCAAAAAAGCAACTCAAAGAATGTTCCTATTCTGCACATCCCCAGATGGGGCAGATGCTGCATCCTTTGGCTTCAAACCCTGCCAATTACTTATATCCTGACTCCCATCCAAGAGAATGGGAAACTCATCTATTCAGTTAAAAAAAAAAAAGTCACCATCATTTTCAAACAGTTTGCCTAGGAGACTGTTTGTGTCAAACCTTGTTCCATACAATAATCCCCTTTATTAGTTGGTTTATTTAAACATACTCATTTTTCCACATATGCAGAAACAAAAAGATACACATTATACAGTGTGATCAGGCAAGAATGAAAATATCATGTATATTACAGTAATAGTTAAGGCCTTAATATAAACAGTGTTCCTTCTTATCCAAAGGGAGAAAAGGCTCCATTAGGGAGATAAATCTTTATTTTGTTCATCAAAACTAAAGCAGTATCACTGAATGACTCTAAACAATAATGAATCTAAAAATGTAGTGTTATGTAGTAACAAAATGTTTACTAGGCCCTGAAAATTCAATCAGGGTATTATACAATTAAACTATATGAAGCTTTAGAAAAGTCCTGGTTTACTAATGTGACAGTTGCCATCTTGTTCAGCACTGGGAACTGAACCAGGAACTAACACATTTAGAAGTACTAATGTCAACAGCTTGAGTTAAAGAGCCATAATTTGTAATGGGAGACACTAACCAACTGTAACACTGATTTTCTCTGGATGAGGCTCAGAGAGAGGGGCACATGGACACACACTGGGTGAATAGATACAGGAACATTTACAATAGTTTATATAGGGCTGGATTGTACAAGCCTTATTAATGCTGTAGATTATAAGCAGTTCCACTGAAGTTACTGAATCACTTTTCAGAAATCAAATTGCTGATGGAAAATAAATATGGAATGCCTGAAAACATCACATTTAGACACCCATTTTCTGGAGCTCAAGTACTCACCAACATGAATAAGGACTGTGTCATCTAACACTTACTCAATATTACTCTTGAGCAAGTTGGGTGGAGGCCATTCTTCCTTCTAGTCCATTTGTGACTCCACTTCAGGTCAGCAGCCCCATGAAGCTGTGTAAATTAGACACCTTCGAAATTGCAAATGAAGCCGGAATTTAAATTTCCCATGCTTCATTTGCATGATGGCGATCGCGGTTTTTTTTTTTAAATGGGGCTTTTCAAAAGAAATACAACTGTTTAGACAGGGTTTGATTGAAAATAAACCCTTTTTTGACAGATCCTGTACTCCTCAAAAGGGTTTTATTTTCGATAGATCCCTGGCTAAATGGCAGTTTTTGTTTAGAAAAGCCACGTTTTTGAAAAAAATGTGGCCGCTATTATGCAAATGAAATGTGGGAAATTTAAATCCCAGCTTCATTTGCAATTTCAAAGTGTCTAATTTACATCCCTTTTTCGAGAAAAGGGATGTAATCTTGACACTATCTAAGAGAATGAGTTGAGCATAAACTCTAAGGCTATGTCTAGACTGCCGCTTTTTGTCAGACTGTTTTCCAACTGTTTTTCTGACTGTTTTTTCGGAAGAG